GAGGCCGACACTGTGGTGTAGCAGGTAAAGCTGCCACCTGCAGTGCCAACATCACTTTTGGGCACCGGTTCAAGTCCCAGCTGCTCCACTTCCTATCCAGCTCTCTGCTATTGCCTGGGAAAGCAGTGGAAAATGACCAAAGTCCTTGGACCCCTGAACCTGTGTGGGAGACCTGGAAGAAGCTCCTGGCTCCTGGCTTTGGATCGGTGCAGCTCCAGCCAATGCAGCCAGCTGGGGAGTGAACCAGCAGATGGAAGACCTCTCTTTCTCTGCCTCTCCTCTCTCTGTGTAACTCTTACTTTTAAATACATAAATAAATCTTAAAAAAAAAAAAAAAAGGCTTTTTAGGCTGGCACCGTGGCTCACTTGGTTAATACTCTGCCTGCAGCGCTGGCATCCCATATGGGCACTAGGTTCTAGTCCCGGTTGTTCCTCTTCCAGTGCAGCTCTCTGCTACAGCCTGGGAAGGCAGTGGAGGATGGCCTAAGTGCTTGGGCACCTGCACCCGCATGGGAGACCAGGAGGAAGCACCTGGCTCCTGGCTGCGGATCGGCGCAGCACGCAGACCGTAGCAGCCACTTGGGGGGTGAACCAACGGAAGGTAGACCTTTCTCTCTGTCTCTCTCTCTCTCTAACTCTGCCTGTCAAAAAAAAAAAAAAAAAAAGATATTTAAAAAATTACTTATTTGAGAGGTAGAGTTACAGAGAGAGAGAGAGCTTCTATCTGCTGGTTCACCCCCCAAATGGCCACAATGGCTGGAGCTAGGCTGATCAGGAGCTTCTGGGTCTCCCATGTGGGTGCAGGAGTCCAAGCACTTAGATCATCTTCCACTGCTTTCCATAGCCATCAGCAAGGAGCTGGATTGGAAGTGGAGCAGCCTATCATGCTCAGCGCCGGCCCCTAAAAATAGTTTTAAGACCTAAAAAAGTAGTGGGTTTTTTTTTTGCAGCAAATGGGCAATAACTGTAGAAATAATAGAAACTATGTGTATATATAGATACATATATATTAAATCACACCTGTAGCTCCAGTCATTGTATACATGCTAATAGTGCTCAGATCTTTTTCCAGGTTAGATCTGCCTCCAGAACACTAGTCCTGTGTTTATTCTGCTGGCCCCAGACATCTCAACACATTATGTGCCTAAAATCGAGTTCATTCTTTCTATACTGCTAGACCCACTCTGTCTTTATTGTTGAATGATATATCTACCCAAAGCCTAAGCAGAAATTTGTGTATCACCCTTGATTTTTTTCCTCCCCATTTGCCATTCAGATAGCTACAAGGTATTTTTGGATTCTATATCCTGTGGTTTAAAATGGTTCATTTTCTACCCTAGCTGCAGAAGCTCAGTATCTGGGAGTCACATTTAGTATGTCTCTTTCCTTTACACCTCATTTCCACCCTAAACCAAGTCCTTTCCATTTCATTAACGAGAGTAGTTCTGGAATTCAGCTACAGCTTAGCCCCTACCTACCTTTCCAGCCTCCTTTTATTACATTTCTGTCTCATTCTGCCACTCTCTTCATGTAAGCTGTACTTTCTCTCATCACAGGGTTCTATTAGTCTACCTTTTTATTTTTAAGATTTGTGTGTTTGAGCCGGCGCCGTGGCTCAATAGGCTAATCCTCCACCTTGCGGCGCCGGCACACCGGGTTCTAGTCCCGGTCGGGGCGCCGGATTCTGTCCCGGTTGCCCCTCTTCCAGGCCAGCTCTCTGCTATGGCCAGGGAGTGCAGTGGAGGATGGCCCAGGTGCTTGGGCCCTGCACCCCATGGGAGACCAGGAAAAGCACCTGGATCCTGGCTCCTGCCATCGGATCAGCGCGGTGCGCCGGCTGCAGCGGCGGCCATTGGAGGGTGAACCAACGGCAAAGGAAGACCTTTCTCTCTCTGTCTCTCTCACTGTCCACTCTGCCTATCAAAAAAAAAAAAAAAAAAAAAAAGAAGATTTGTGTGTTTGAAAGGCAGAGTTACAGAGAGAGAGGGAGAGACACACAGAGAGAAATCTTCCATTTGCTGGTTTACTGCCCTAAATGGCCACAGTGACCCAGGCTGGTCTAGACTGAGGCTAGGAGCCTGGAACTCCATCTGGGTCTCCCACATGTTGAATGGCTTGGACCATTTTCCACTGCCTTCCCAGGTGCATTATCAGGGAGCTGGATTGCAAGTAGAGCAGCTGGGACTCAAATGGGATGCTAGTGTCCCACACCACAGCTTAACCTGTTGTGCCACAGTGCTGGCTTCCTAGTAGTCTATCATACCTAGCAAGTCCCCATCTTCAGGTCTGTCTGAAGCTTTACTTTTCAGGCGGTCTCTTTTGGCTCGGAACCAGGCCACATGGTTCTCTTAAATTTGTTAACTACATTTCTTTCCATGCCTTATTATTTGGTTGACATCCATATCTAACCAGAGTGTAAACCATGAGGCTAGAGGCAGTCTTATTTTTGTTTGCAATTTTTTTTTTTTGACAGGCAGAGTGGACAGTGAGAGAGAGAAAGGTCTTCCTTTACCATTGGTTCACCCCCCAATGGCCGCTGCGGCCGGCACACTGTGGCCAGTGCACTGCGCTGATCCGAAGGCAGGAGCCAGGTGCTTCTCCTGGTCTCCCATGTGGGTGCAGGGCCCAAGCACTTGGGCCATCCTCCACTGCACTCCCGGGTTACAGCAGAGAGCTGGACTGGAAGAGGAGCAACCAGGACAGAATCCAGCGCCCCGACCGGGACTAGAACCCAGTATGCCGGCGCCGCAGGCGGAGGATTAGCCTAATGAGCCGCGGCGCCAGCCTGTTTGCAGTTTTTAAGAAAGATGTATTTATTTATTTGAAAGAGTTATAGAGAAAGGGACAGAGAGGGAGGGAGGAAGATCTTCCATCTGCTGGGTCACTCCCTAAATGGCCAGAACAGCTGGGTAAAGCACCTGGCTCCTGGCTTTGGATTGGCGCAGTGCACCAGCCGTGGCGGCCATTTGGGGAGTGAACCAATGGAAGGAAGACCTTTCTCTCTGTCTCTCTCTCTCTCTCTCTCACTGTCTGTAACTCTACCTGTCAAATAAGTAAAAAAAAACAAACACAAACACAAAACAAACGTAAATAGCACACCTTTTATAATAGTTATAAAAATATTAAAATGTTTGTAATTTTAAAATACATTTGAGAGCCAGAGAAAGATCTTCCATTCAGTGTTCGCTCCCCAGATGCTGCAGTGACTGGAGCTGAATCCGAGCCAGGAGTCAGGAATACAATCCAAATCTACACAGGTGATAGGAGCCCAATTTGACCTATCACCACTGCTTCCCAGAGTCTGCATAGATGGGAAGCTGGAGTCAGGAGCTGGAGTTGGGAATCCAACACAGGTGCTTTGATGTGGGGAAAAAATGGGCATCTTAACTGCCAGACTACATGTTCATAGTTTTGACCCAGAAAATTCAACTTCTAGGTAGGTGTCCTACTGAAATACACTGAGGCATCTGGGGATATAAGTACAAGTACAAAGTTGTTTACTGTAGCATTGTTTCTATAGGTGAATATTTGAATATGACCTAACTGCTCAAATAAATGATACTATATCCATATGAAGAAATTGTATTCAGTTTTTAACAGTTAAGTAGAGTTAGATCTGTAGATATGGAGACAGGGCAAATATGTATTTGATTTATGAAGTAGGTCACAAAATTGTACCTAAATAGTATAATTCATTATAAATAAATATATAAATTATAGTATATGCTAATATATAAGTAATATAAAATAGCTGATAGAATATGCACTAGGAGCCTGTGCTGTGGTGTAATGGGTAAAGCTGCTGCATGCAGTGCTAGCATCCCATATGGGTACCGGTTTGAGTCCCGGCTGCTTCACTTCCGATCCAGCTTTCCCTGCTGTCGCCTGGGAAAGCCGTAGAAGATGGCCTAAGTCCTTGGGCCTCTGCACCCACGTGGGAGACCCTGAAGAAACTCCTGGCTTTGGATTGGCACAGCTCTGGCCATTGTGGCCATCTGGGGAGTGAACCAGCAGATGGAAGACTTCTATCTTTCTCTCTCTCTCTCTCTCTCTCTCTGCTCCTCTGTAATTCTGCCTTTCAAATAAATAAATCTTCAAAAAAAATGTGCACCAAAGTGTGAATTAGTTCTGAGAGGTTGGTTGGTATTAGAGAAACATGTACATTTTATTAAATATTTTGTGTCTGATGTTTTAAAAGACTATAAGCAGGGCCAGCACTGTGGTGCAGTGGGTTAGTCTTTTGCCTGCGGCACCGGCATACCATATGGGCACTGGTTCTAGTCCTGGCTGCTCCTCTTTCGATCCAGCTCTCTGCTGGGGCCTGAGAAAGCAGTGGAAGATAGGCCAGATGCTTGGGCCCCTGCACCTGCATGGGAGACCCAGAGGAAGCTTCTGGCTCCTGGCTTCGGATCAGCAGAGCTTAAGCTGTTGCATCCAATTGGGGAGTTCACCAGCCAATAGAAGATCTCTTCTTTCTCTCTGTTTCTTTGCCTATCCTTCTCTCTCTGTGTAACTCTGACTTTCAAATAAATAAAGACAGTAAGCATGCATCATTAAAATTATCAGGAAACAAGAAGATTAAAAAACAATGCAGGGGCCGGTGCTATGGCGCAGCAGGTTCAAGCCCTGGCCTGAAGCGCCAGCATCCCATATGGGTGCTGGTTCTAGTCCCAGCTGCTCCTCTTCCGATCCAGCTCTCTGCTATGGCCTGGGATGGCAGTGGAAGATGGCCCAAGTCTTTGGGCCCCTGCACCCACATGGGAGACCAGGAAGAAGCTCCTGGCTCCTGGCTTCGGATCAGTGCAGCTCCGGCCATTGTGGCCATCTGGGGAGTGAACAAATGGATGAAGAACTCTCTGTCTCGACCTCTCTCTATAAATCTGTCTTTCAAATAAATAAAATCTTTTAAAAAATGCATAAAGAGCATGACTGTATAGTGTTACTGTGTTATTTGCAAGTATGAGCTATTCACACTTAATTTCTCCCCTCTTTTCAAATAGAATGCCCAGTGTTTACATGGGGACATTGCACAGTCACAGAGAGAAATTACTCTGAAAGGCTTCAGAGAAGGTAGTTTTAAAGTTCTGGTGGCAACCAATGTGGCTGCCCGTGGTTTGGACATTCCTGAGGTTGACCTCGTGATTCAAAGTTCTCCTCCACAGGTAGGAAATGGGATTTGGTTTGGGGAAGATAAGAGTAACTTTAAAAATTCCTATTTTATTGACACAGAATTGCTTGATATGTGAAAAATATGTCATTTTTTCTTACTCTAAGGCTATTGTTTATTAGTGTGGTGTTAAATTGGTCAGCATGTGGTGGCTTTGCAAATGATTAACCTCATTGTTTGGTGCTGAAACAGAGCAATAAAATCATGCAAAGGAAGAAGAAAGTACTCTGGTGTAAGGTGAATAAAAACCTTTGCCCTAAAATACAGCTGTGTAAATTCATTGGGATGTTGAAAAGTACATGCAACAGGATTGAAATAAAAATGTTATTACTGTTATTAGCAAATTTTGAAAAAGTATTACCACTTCTGTTTTTAGGATGTTGAGTCCTATATCCATCGCTCTGGACGCACAGGTAGAGCTGGCCGGACAGGGATTTGCATATGTTTTTATCAACCAAGAGAAAGAGGTCAACTAAGATATGTGGAACAAAAAGCAGTAAGTAGAGTTAAATTATTTCAGTCTTGTTATCTAATTGGTCTCTCAGAAGATAACTCATTTTCTATTCTCATAACTTTTCTCAATGTAAACAGCATTTGGATATGAAGCTTGTGGAGAGCTAAATTTATGTCAGCTACAAGACTGTTTTAATACAGCTTTTGTTGCGAAGACAGAAGAACTTATTTTCTCATTTTTCCCTTGAATTCCTCCCTTGATACTAAAATTAGAAGTGCACTGTGATTTCAGTAATTCATGGTCCAGCTCATAGACGGGGTGGCTGTGACACAGTTTTGGTGTAGTTAAGATATGTTACATAATGGTACATAACAGTACTTAATGGTACAGTGGCCAATTTATGTAAGAAATTAAACATTTTCTGTGGTCTAGATTTTTGAAGTATTTCACATTTTTCATATTTTTGACTTTTTTATATGCTATTTCATATACTTTATAAAATGAGATGTGGTAATAAGGAAAAAGTTGATAAATTTAAACATCTTTTTCTTCTTTAGCATCAGCTTTGTTTTGCAAGTGAAATTCCATGATTTTAACTAAGGAAAAATTGAAAAAAAAATTTCTTTTTTGGAATTTTGGAATAAATCAGTGATTTATTAGAAAAAGCAGATCTTTTGTTGTCTGCTAGGGCTTGGAAATCTTTAAATCCAAGAAGTGGAAATTCAACAAACTATATTAACTTAGGAATTACTTGTGAAGACTTCCATTTTTCTTTAATGTAATTCTTTCATTTTCAGGGAATTACTTTTAAACGTGTAGGTGTTCCTTCTACAATGGATTTAGTTAAATCTAAAAGCATGGATGCCATCAGGTATGCTTTCTGAACTTGCTGAATAATATTTTCTTTTGTGTTAGGCTATTCATCTTTAAGCTCTCCTAGTTCATATATCAGAAAATTTTAATCACCAGTTTTACCAGCGACATTTAGTTTTATTAAAATACAAAACGTTACTCTTTTCCCATTCGTTCTCTTGTTATTGTTTTTTTTTTTTTGCTGTGTCTTGACCAAGGACATTTATTATTTTTAAACCATAGGTCTCTGGCTTCTGTCTCTTATGCTGCTGTGGATTTTTTCCGACCATCAGCCCAGAGACTGATAGAAGAGAAAGGGGCAGTGGATGCACTGGCTGCAGCATTAGCCCACATTTCTGGTGCATCAAGCTTTGAACCACGATCTTTGATCACTTCTGATAAGGTAGAAATCTGTGAGGAAATTGTATGTGGTTGTTAAAAAGTCAAAATTGAACCATTGCAGATACTGTAGAGTGAATTACTGAGTACTGAATTTAATCTCTTCAATATACTTTGCTTGTTATGCAGAAAAAAACTGTTTTGCTCTGCTCTGTTTAGAAATTAGGCTTCCCATTTTCTCTAGCCCCTCAATAAATGCCTTTTTATAAAAAAAAAAAAAAAAAGATTTATTTGAAAGGCAGAGTGAGGGAGAGCAAAGAGATAGATATCTTCCATTCACTGGTTCACTCCTCAGATGCCCACAACAGCTTTGGGGTTGGGCCAAAGCCAAGAGCCAGGAACTCCATCTGTGTCTCCCATGGGGTTGCAGGAGCCCCAGTGTCTGGGCCATCCTTCACTGTCTTCCAGATGCATTAGCAGGAAGCTGAAATAGAAGTGGAGTAGCTGGGACTCTAACTCCTAACTCTGATATGGGAAACAGGCATCCCAAGTGGTGGCTTACCCCACTGCACCCCAACACCTACCCCCAAGAAATGCTTTTTGACAGCTAGCTCCTCCAAATTTTCAGGCCTATAGAAAAATTGAAAAAAGAGGGTAATAAATAACCATATGCTTCCACCTAGATTTAACAACTGTTAATATTCTGCATTTGCTTTTTATTTTCATTTGTACTTTTTCTTCTAAACCATTTGAAAGTAGGTTAAAACATCACAGCCTGATCCTTAAATATTTCAGTACTCATCCTCTAAGAATAAGTATATTCTCCTCCATAATCACGGACCCATAATCTCATCTGTGAAAATTGATTTATAATTCTGTATCATCTAATGTAGTCCGTATTCAGATTTGCCTCATTGAGGCTGGTGCTGTGGCGTAGTGGGTAAAACCTCCACCTGCAGTGCCAACACCCCATATGGGCACCGGTTCAAGTCTTGGCTACTCCACTTCTGATCCAGCTCTCTGCTATTGCCTGGGAAAGCAGTGGAAGATGGCCTAAGTCCTTGTGGCCTTGCACCCATGTGGGAGACCTGGAAGAAGTTCCCAGCTCCTGGCTTCAGATCGGCATAGCTCCAGCCGTTGCGGCCATCTGGGGAGTGAACTAGCGAATGGAAGACCTCTCTTTCTCTCTCTGCCTCTCCTTCTATCTCTGTGTAATGCTTTCAAATAAATAAATAAATCTTTAAAAAAATGAAGATTCATTTATTTGAAAGGAAGAGTTACAGAGAGGCAGATGTCTTCCACCCACTGGTTTACTTCCCAGATGGCCTCAATGGCTGGAGCTGTGCTGATCAGGAGCCAGAAGCTTCTTCCGGGTCTCCCACGCGGGTGCAGGGGCCCAAGCACTTGGGCCATCTTCTACTGCTTCCCCAGGTCACAGCAGAGAGCTGGATCCTAAGTGGAGCAGCCAGGACTTGAATTGGTGCCCATATGGGATGCTGGCACTGCAGGCGGCAGTTTTACCCGCTACGCCACAGCGCTGGCCCCATAAATAAATCTTTAAACAAACAAACAAACAAACAGATTTGCCTCATAATCCGAAAAGTATCTATCTGGAGAGAAAAATAAAAAATTCTTTCTGGCCGGCGCCGCGGCTCACTAGGCTAATCCTCCGCCTAGCGGCGCCGGCACACCGGGTTCTAGTCCCGGTCGGGGCGCCGGATTCTGTCCCGGTTGTCCCTCTTCCAAGCCAGCCCTCTGCTGTGGCCAGGGAGTGCAGTGGAGGATGGCCCAGGTGCTTGGGCCCTGCACCCCATGGGAGACCAGGAAAAGCACCTGGCTCCTGGCTCCTGCCATCGGATCAGCGCAGTGCGCCGGCCGCAGCGCGCCGGCCGTAGCGGCCATTGGAGGGTGAACCAACGGCAAAGGAAGACCTTTCTCTCTGTCTCTCTCTCTCACTGTCCACTCTGCCTGTCAAAAATAGATAGCTATAGAGCTGCAGATTCTTTCTTTGCACAGTATTGTGCTAGTTGAAACTTGTATACCAGAACCTACTCTTCATTTTGTAGCTTGCTACAGACCCATGCCAAGTAAGAACTAGACTATGCATTTAATACGGTAGCTGGCAAAGTAAGAACTGCATGTATGTGTGGAGGGGTATCTGTGTGCACATGCATTTTTGTAACACCATCTGACCAGGCCACTAGAAGGTTGTTATCAGATGTCAACACATACCACACCAAGTCTACAAGTAATTAAAATTACTTGGGTACAAGCAAGGAGACACTCATCAGTGGGAGAGTTCTCTGATGTCTGGGTAGAGAATGAGAAAGAGCCTGGTCCTGGGGATCTCGATCAGATAAGAGACTGCTGACAGGTTTTTGAACAACCATTGTGCAGACTAATTTTGAGCAGCCCATTGGGAGTAGGGAGCAAAAGGGGCAGAGCAGCTTAACTTACATGGAAGTTATTTGGTGTAGCACAAATGAGTGCAGCTGACTGGTCTCCCTGGCAGGTCATTAATAGTTTAGCCAGGCCGGCGCCGCGGCTCAATAGGCTAATCATCCGCCTTGCGGCGCTGGCACACCGGGTTCTAGTCCCGGTCGGGGCACCGGATTCTGTCCCGGTTGCCCCTCTTCCTGTCCAGCTCTGCTGTGGCCCGGGAAGGCAGTGGAGGATGGCCCAAGTGCTTGGGCCCTGCACCCACCTGGGAGACCAGGAGAAGCACCTGGCTCCTGGCTTCGGATCAGCGTGGTGTGCCGGCCACAGCGCGCTGGCAGCAGCGGCCATTGGAGGGTGAACCAACGGTAAAAGGAAGACCTTTCTCTCTGTCTCTCTCTCTCACTGTCCACTCTGCCTGTCCAAAAAAAAAAAAAAAAGGCTAATAGTTTCGCCAAATATCATTGTACTGGGAGTAACTTATTATACCCATCTCTCTTGCCATACACACACACACACGGATCAAGGTCCAAATAAGGTTGTGTTTGGTTTTCGGATTTTTTCAGTCTGTAACTGAAAATTTTTATTTTTCATTGCATTGATTTTTTGTGTGTATGTGTGAAAAGTCTAGGTAAGCTGTCTACTAGAATACTTCACCTGTATTTTTCTGAATTTATTTTCTTAGTGCATCATTTACTTTTGCCTTTATCCAGAATCTTTCCTATAAGCTGGAAGCAGTGTCAGAAGTTGATTTTATATTCAGGTTAAATTTTTTGGCAAGAGTACTTCATTCATATTTTGTACTTTTTTTTTTTTTTTTTAAGAGTTAAGATCTGAATGTGGGCAGTCTTGCACCTTGACCTCTTTTTTTTTAAGATTTATTTGAGGCCGTCACTGCAGCTCAATAGGCTAATCCTCCACCTGCGGCGCTGGCACCCGGGTTCTAGTCCGGGTTAGGGTGTTGCATCTGTCCTGGTCGCCCCTCTTCCAGTCCAGCTCTCTGCTGTGGCCCGAGAGTGCAGTGGAGAATGGCCCAGGTCCTTGGGGCCTGCACCCACATGGGAGACCAGGAGAAGCACCTGGCTCCTGGCTTCGGATCAGCGCAGTGCACTGGCCACAGTGTGCTTACCGCAGCGGCCATTGGAGGGTGAACCAATGGTAAAGGAAGACCTTTCTCTCTGTCTCTCTCACTGTTCACTCTCCCTGTCAAAAAAAAAAAAAAAAAAAAAAACTTAATACACCACACCGCCGATCTCCAAAATGTAGTTGCAAAGAAGTTATTTCTTTAGTGGCTATGTTATGCCATTGGCTTATAAGAAGTACACAGTTAAGTTATGAAGGTCGGGGCTGGTGCTGTGGTGCAGTGGGTTAACACTCTAGCCTGAAGTGCTGGCATCCCTTATGGGCGCCAGTTTGAGACCTGGCTGCTCTACTTCCAATCCAGCTCTCTGCTATGGCCTGGGCAAGCAGTAGAAGATGGCCCAAGTTCTTGGGCCCCTGCACCTGCGTGGGAGATTTGGAAGAAGCTCCTGGCTCCTGGCTTCAGATCAGCACAGCTCCAGCCATTGTGGCCATTGTGGCCAATTGGAGAGTGAACCATCAGATAGAAGACCTCTCTCTCTCTCTCACTCCTCTCTCTCTCTCTCTCTCTCTCTCTCTCTTCTCTCTCTCTGTGTAACTCTGACTTTCAAATAAATAAATAAATCTTAAAAAAAAAAAGTCATGAAGGTCTATAGCCATTGTCCTGCTGCTGCTGCTATTTTCTAAATATAATGTGACTTTATTCCTTAGGGGTTTGTGACCATGACTCTGGAAAGCCCTGAAGAAATACAGGATGTCAGCTCTGCGTGGAAAGAGCTTAACAGAAAGCTGAGTAGCAATGCTGTGTCCCAAGTTACCAGAATGTGCCTCCTGAAAGGAAATATGGTAGGCTTTTCTAGAAAAAAGGTCTTTTAATCAACAAATTTAAAAAAATCTTTTTAATCAACTACCTCAAACATTTATAAAGACTGGAAAATTTTGTACCTCCTTTTTATTTATTTTTTTTTTTGAAGTCTAATGGGATGACTAATACTGCTTTCTTTATGTGTTAGTTTGTTTCCAGTTATAAATTTGGGTGTTATGTAAACAGTCTGACCTTAGAGCTGGAAGTCATTCTGCTTGGTTTCACTATTTAATACTCAGGTTATCTAAGTTTCTGCTTTTGTGTATATATTATGTGTGGCTGTATATTTATGCTCCAAGACTAAGTAACTAATGCTTGGAAGAGTTACATGGCTCTATAATTTAGAGAACATGTATTATTGTTTGTTAAGTGGCTGTTGTTGATTGTTAATGAGGGTAATAGTATGAATTAATTGAGGTATTTTAATATTTATTTAACAGTTGATACTCTATAATCTTAGTGACTAGGATTTCTTCTTTTGGATTTGAGAGATGTTATATTTATTCATCTAATCTACTACATAGATTAATTCTAGAATAGAATTTATTAACTAGATTGTGTATTGCAGATAATCATTTGTCTCAAAGTGTCTTATTACTTACCTTGAAAAAAGATTTGAGGCAAGTATGAGACAAATATACACATTCAAAAAAAAGTAGAGAAGAGGGAAAGTATTACAGTATGCACAGGCCAAACTAGTAGTTGTACTTGAATATTAAATAAACTTCCAGTGTATTGGCAGCCAAGATCAAAGAGGAGATATCCTCAGTTCTCTCAACCTCGTTATCTGATAAACACTGAAGCTCTTCAGGAGAGAAACTTTCTGACACTGAAGTTTTAAAGGAATGTATTATAAGAATGATTCTATAAGGGATTTTTTTTTTTTTTTACTTATTTGACAGAGTTAGACAGTGAGACAGAAAGGTCTTCCTTCCATTGGTTCACCCCCTACATGGCCACTACGGCCGGTGCTGTGCCATTCCGAAGCCAGGAGCCAGGTGCTTCCTCCTGGTCTCCCACGTGGGTGCATGTGCCCAGTCACCTTGGCCATCCTCCACTGCCTTCCTGGGCCACAGCAGAGAGCTGGACTGGAAGAAGAGTAGCCGGGACTAGAACCTGGTGCCCCTATGGGATGCCAGCGCCGCAGGCAGAGGATTAGCCAAGTGAGCCACGGCACCAGCCCCTTATAAGGGATTTTATAGTGTTTACAAAAACTTCTACTAGAGAGTAGATTCTTATTCACTGTAGTTAATCATTAGATACTATGGTGTTACTTTTCAGATTTAGAAAAATATATTAAGCTCCACTCTGTCAGGCTTTGATAGTTTATCTATTTTGATCCTCTCTGCAATCATGGGACAAATCTAATCCTTTCATTAAAGCCTAATTTACCAGCAAATATTAGTTTATTGATAAACAATTAACTTTCAAATAAAAATATTTTTTTCTTTTAGGGTGTTTGCTTTGATGTTCCTACAATCGAGTCAGAAAGTTTACAGGTATTTTAAAAATTTTATTTTTTAAAGTATGTTTCTCTAAAAGATAATGTCTTTTATTTATTTATTTATTTGAAAAAGAGAGAGGTGGGGGAGAGAAAGATCTTCCATCTGCTAGTTCACTCCCTATATGGCTACACCAGCCAGGGCTGAGCCAGGCAGAAGCCAGGAGCTTAATCTAGATCTCCTATGTGGGTGACACAGATCCAAGCGCTGGGCCATCTTTTGCTGCATTTCCCAGGCCATTAGCAGGAAGCTAGATTGGAAATGGAGCAGCAGGACATGACCTGGCACCTGTATGATATGCCAGTGTCATAGAAGGTAGCTTTACCCACTATGCCACAATACCATCCTCCAAAATGATAGAATATTATAATAACCCTGATGTGCCTATTACCAAGCTCCTGATTCCAGCTTCCTGCCAAAGTACACCCTGGAAGTAGTAGTTGATGGCTCAAGTAGTTGAGTCCCTGCCACCACACTTGGGATCTGAATTGAGTTCCTGGCACCTGGCTTCAGCCTGACCTGGTCCTAGCTGTTGCAGGTGTTTGGCAAGTGAGCCAGCAGATGAGAGACCTCTGTCTGCCATTCTTTCTCTTTCAATAAGTAAATAAATCAATAAAAACTTTTAAAATTTTTACTTTTCCTACAAAAGAAACAGGTTGTCCACTAGATTTCTATAGTGAAGAGTTTATTGATCCCTGTACACACACACACACACACACACACAAATATTTTGAAATAAGAATCGGATTAGTTCTTTTTCTGAGGTCTTTTTTTTTTTTTTTTTTAAAGATTGTTTATTTGAAAGGCAGAGTTACAAAGAGAGAAGGAGAGAAAGAGAGAAAGTGGTTTTCCATCCACTGGTTCACTCCCCAGATGGCCCTTGATGGCTGGAGCCAGGAACCTGGAACTCCATCCAGGTCTCCTATATGGGTGGCAAGGGCCCAAGAACTTGGGCCGTCTCCCACTGCTTTCCCAGGCATATTAACAGGGAGCTGGATTGGAAGTGGAACAGCTGAGACTCAAACCTGTGCCAATATGGGATGCTGATATCTGAGGTGGTGGCTTTACCCTCCTCACCAAAACACAGGCCATCCCCTCCGAGGTCCTTTTAAAAATTTATAACATATTGTAGACAGTTATTTTTTTAAAGATATTTATTTATTTATTTGAAAGAGTTACACAGAGAGAGGAGAGGCAGAGAGAGAGAGGTTTTCCATCCGATGGTTCACTCCCCAGATGGCTACAATGGCCGGAGCTGTGCCGACCTGAACCCAGGAGCTTCTTCCACTGCTTTCCCAGGCCAAAGCAGAGAGCTGGACAGGAAGTGGAGCAGCTGGGTCTCGAACCAGTGTCCATATGGGATGTCGGCACTTCAGGCCAGGGCGTTAACCCACTGCGCCACAGTGCCGCCCCCCCCCCCCTTTTTTTTTTTTAAGATTTATTTATTTGAAAGGCAGAGTCACAAAGAAGCAGAGAAAGAGAGGTCTTCCATTTGCTAGTTCACTCCCCAGATGGCCACAACTGCCAGAGCTGGGCCAGTCTGAATCCGGGAGCCAGGAGCTTCCAGGTCTCCCACATGGGTGCAGGGGCCCAAGCACCTGGGCCATCTTTTACTGCTTTCCCAGGCCACAGCAGAGAGCTGGATCGGAAGAGGAGCAGCCAGGACTCAAAGCAGCACCCAAATGGGATGCTGGCACTGCAGGCAGCGGCTTTACATGCTGTGCCTCATGTTTTTCTTTTAAGATGAACGTTTTAGGGTGACTGTGTAGCCAAAGGTTTGTGGTTGTTTTGTTTAGTTTAGTTAATGGAGTACCTGCCATGTTTAGACTTTGTAAAAAAAATTATATCTTATTTGTATTTGAGAGGCAGAGAGTGAGACAGAGCTGCTGGTTTACTCCCTAAAGGCTGAAGCATTGGGCTGAAGCTGTGATCTCAAGCCATTTTTTTTTTTTAAGTTACTTCATTTATTTGAAAGAGTTACAGAGAGAGGTAGAGACAGAGTCTGCCATCCGCTGGTTCACTCCCCAGATGGCCGTAACGGCAGAGCTGTGTCATTCTGAAGCCAGGAGCTTCTTTTGGGTCTCCCACACGGGTGCAGAGGCCCAAGGATCCGGGCCATCTTCCACTGCTATCCCGGGCCATACCAGAGAGCTGGATCAGAAGAGGAGCAGGGGGACTAGAACCAGCGCCCATATGGGATACCAGCACTTCAGGCCAGGGCTTTAACCCGCTGTGCCACAGCACCAACCCCTGAAGCTGGGATCTCAATCCTTGTCTTCCACACGGGTGGCAGAGACACAGCTACTTAAGCCATCACTACTGCTTCCCAGGATCTGCATTAGCAGGAAGCTGGAGTCAGGGGCTTGACCTGGGAATTGAACCTAGGCACTCTAATATGAGATGCAGACATCTTAACTGCTAGGCTAAATACCTGCCCTGGTTTGTACATTTTTAAGATTTTGGTCACTAATGGTATGTGTGGGTATTTATTGCTTCCCATTCTTACGAACAAGGTATCTGATTACCAGTTTTCCTTGACAACTCATGATCGTAATGAACAGCAGTTGATCTAGCAAGACAGAACACATTGATGTTCTTATAAGCTGCTGATTTGTGTCCTGGATTTTACTCCATTACTAAATTGTTTCCAATGGCTATGTTGTTTATTCTCTGGCATCCGCTCTCTACTTTATGCTCTTGTCTATAATTGCTGAAAAAATGTACCACTTATTAATTGTCTATCTGCTACGTGCTGAGAAACCAGAGAGTGCTCTCTTCCAGAAGTATAAACTGGATGAATTTAGAATCTTGAAATGAGCCTCACTGTCTCTACTGAGACTAAAAGTTAGTGAATGAGCTTTAAACATGCTTTCATTTTATTTATTTTCTGGCTTCTGTTTTTGTCCCAGACACTTTGGATTTAATGGGATGGCTTTTTTAGCTAATAGATAATGACTGTGAGAGGGGCATTTCCTTTACTCATGTGCTTGCTTATGGAATCTGTTTTGCATTTATATTAACCCTTAAAATTTCCCTAACAGGCAGAGTGGCATGATTCAGACTGGATCCTCTCAGTACCAGCCAAATTACCTGAAATTGAAGAATATTATGATGGAAACACATCCTCTAATTCGAGACAGAGGAGTGGCTGGTCAAGTGGCCGGTCAGGCCGATCGGGTGGTCGATCAGGTGGTCGATCAGGTGGCCGGTCAGGTAGACAGGGTCGACAGGGGAGTCGGTCAGGAAGTCGACAAGATGGCCGAAGACGAGGTGGGAGAAATCGATCAAGAAGTGGGGGCCACAAACGGAATTTTGACTGAGTATTTGATAATCTGCCAGTGTGAGCTTGTGTATTTCTGCCTAATCATGTACATTATCCACCAAAAATTAGGTCATCATAGTTGAAGTGTATGTGTCTGCTATTTGCAAAGAAGTTGGTCGTATTTTTTTAAAAAGTATTTCACAAGAATGGTCGTAAACATATCTACTTATCCAGATATACCTTTGAATAAAAAAATTCCTTTTATTGTCTCTTTTCATTGTGCCTTAAGAATTTTCTAACTGTAGTCTTAAAATTTCCTAAAATTTGACAGTCAAATTAATTTTGCTAAAGTCACTCACATTTTACAAAATATGGTGTATTTATATTCAGATCATTCCTTTCATAGGTAATATCTTAGAACATGAAATCTTGTCTACATTAAAGGCTGACAAACTGGTGCTATGGTTAGTTAGGTACAGTGGTTTAAACTCTAACTATAGTTCACTGAGAGGCTGCACAAGCAGTGTACTCATTAATTTACTGAATGTCAACTGTGTGTCCATCACTATGCTAGTTATTGGGGAATACAGTTGTGCTATAACTAACCTCAAGAAAATTAGACTCTAACACTTAAGCAATTATGATAGAGATTAACAAAGGCTAAAATAAAGGTAGATATGGGATACTAAGAACCTTGTTAGGTGTACCTAATAAGTTTTATGAGTCAGGAGGCTTTTTAGAAGAAATGATACCCAACAGAGAAGTAAAGTAGAAATATCAGTTGATCTAGCCATGTTTATGGTAGGAAGAGGGCTTATAGGAAGAGAGAACAACAGGTACAGGAACTTAGAGGCAAAGAAGAACCTCGCAAATAGTTCAGTATGGCTTACATGTGATAGGCAGAGGGGAAGAATAAGACAGGGATTTAGTGTTTAACAGGGACCAGATCTTAAAGGTCATATTGCATCTTTAAGAAATTTAAAACTTTTCTTGAAGATTGGGGAACCATTAAAGGGTTGGATTTAATTTTGGCTGTACTGAAGAGGATGGACTGGAGCAGGGCTAGACTGGAGGCCTAGAAACTGCATTAAGAGGCTATAAAAAAAAAAGAGGCTATAAGAGTAGTCCACGGTAAAGATACTGGTTATCTGAACTAATTATAGGTAATAGGATTAGGCCAGGCCTGAGCCAGGAGACTTGAACTCACTCCAGGTCTCCCATGTGGATAGCAGGGGCCCAACAACTCAAATTATCATCTTCTGCCTCCCAAAATGCACATCAAGGGTGGAGCTGGGACTTGAACCTGGGTAATCTGATACTGGATGTGGGTGTCCTGCAGCATCTTAACTTTTTTTTTTTTTTTTTTTTAAGATTTATTTATTTGAAAGGCAGAGTGACAGAGAGATTCCATCCACTGGTTCACTTCCTAAATGGCCACAACAGCCAGAGCCAGAAGCCTGAACCTCCATCTGGGTATTCCATGTGAATGCCAGAGGCCCGAGTACTTGGCCCATTCGCTGCTGCTTTCCCAGGTGCATTAGCAGGGAGCTGGATCAGAAATGGAGCAGCTAGGATTTAGCCTGCTGTGCCACAACACTAGCTCTTCCATATACAAACTTTTTAAAATAGAATTGTCCCACTGATTTTAAGAGAATATAGTATATATTCCAGATATGAGGAAACAGGCTTGGCAGAATTGACATTCAAACAGAACTTTGGGGCCAGTGCTATGGTGCAGTGAGTTAAACCCCTGGCCTGCAGCCCCAGCATCCTGTATGGGGGTTGGTTTGAGTCCCTGCTGCTACACTTCCAACCCAGCCCCCTGCTCTTGTGCCTGGGAAAGCAGTGGAGGATGGCTCAAGTTCTTGGGCCCCTGCACCCGTGTGGGAGACCCAGAAGAAGCTCCTGGCTCCTGGCTTCAGATTGACACAGCTCTGGCTGTTGCAGCCATTTGGGAAGGTGTTTTGTTTTGTTTTGTTTTGTTTTGTTTTGTTTTGTTTTGTTTTGTTTTGTTTGACAGAGTGGACAGTGAGAGAGAGAGACAGAGAGAAAGGTCTTTCTTTACCATTGGTTCACCCTCCAATGGCCGCTGCAGCCGGTGCACCACACTGATCTGAAGCCAGGAGCCCAGTGCTTCTCCTGGTCTCCCAGGTGGGTGCAGGACCCAAGCACCTGGGCCATCCTCCACTGCACTCCTGGGCCACAGCAGAGAGCTGGCCTGGAAGAGGGGCAACCGGGACTAGAACCCCGGGGTGCCGGCGCCGCAGGCAGAGGATTAGCCTGCTGAGCCACGGCGCCGGCCATTTGGGAAGTTTATCAGTGATGGAAGACTTTTCTCTAACATTGTCTTTCAAAAAAAAAAAAAATTCACATTTCCTAGCAAATATATGAGTTCTTCCATTTGCTACTGAATTTTATACTGATGACTGGACTCAGTGTAATAATTTGACCACCTTTGATCCCAGAGGGGCCATTTGTGTGCTTTTTGGAATTTTCGGTTTGTGCCTTTTATGCAGGCTTATGTTTAAAAGGAAGGTATGTATTTTATAAGCCTTAACGGCAATTTACCATTCAGTGGTGTTCTGGGACATCCTCTCTAACATCTGTTGGTAATAAGCCCCTGTTCTGTAAGCAGTGGTGTCATGTATAGCAGTTATCACACAATTTTGTGGTTTGTCAAGCAGATTGCAGTTTTTTTTTAAGGGAATTAAAAAAAAAAAAAAGATTTATTTATTTGAAAGGAAGAGTTACAGAGAGGCATAGACAGAGAGAGACGTCTTCCAAACGCTGGTTCACACCCCAGTTGGCCGCAACAGCCGGAGTTGGGCCAGTCAGAAGCCAGGAGCCACAAGCTGCTTCTGTGTCTCCCACATGGGTGCTGGGGCCAAAGGACCTGGGCCATCTATTACTTTCTCAGGCCATATAAGAGAGCAGCTGGGACTTGAAGCGGCGCCCATATGGAATGCTGGCACTATAAGCAGCAGCTTTACCCACTATACCACAGTGCCAGCCCCTTCAGGTTTTCTTTCTTCTTTTTAAGAATTATTTATTTGAAAGAGTCACAGAGAGAGGTAGAGGCAGAAAGAGGTCTTCCATTCCACTGGTTCAGTCTGCAAATGAGGGCCATGGCCAGAGCTGAGCTGATCTGAAGCCAGGAGCCTCTTCCAGGTCTCCCATGTGGGTGCAGGGGCCCAAGGAGCTGGGCCATCTTCTACTTTCCCAGGCCACAGCAGAGAGCTGGATCCGAAGTGGAGCAGCCGGGACATGAATCGGCGCCCATATGGGCTGCGGGTGCTGCAGGCTGAGGCTTTAACCCGCTGGGCCATAGCGCAGGCCCCACTGCAGGTTTTCTTGAGGCAAGGACTAGGCCTTCACTTATGAACTCCAGTGTTCTTGGTAAAATACTGGAATTCTATATTTTGAGCATTTTGGTGGTCAATTGGTTGACTGCATCCATGCTTATTCTCCTCTTGCACCCAACACCAGGATGACTGAAACACTTTGCTGCCTGGGCGTATGGATAAAGTTTACTTCAAGTGGTTTTCCTCCACCATTGCCGTGTTAATGTTTGAATAAACACTGAGTTAGAGATTACTTACTGTGCGTCAAACAAATGTCTGAAATTTTAAGGACAGAAAGATGGATAAATCAAATTTCCTGGCTTAAGTTTATCACAATATAAGTTGTTGTACATTTACCTAAATTGTCAAAGAAAAAACTGGGGCCAGTGCTGTGGCATAGCGGGTAAAGCTGCCACCTGCAGTGCCAGCATCCCGTATGGCTGCCAGTTCAAGTCCCGGCTGCTCTTTCAATGCAGCTCTCTGCTACTGCCTGGGAAAGCAGAAGACGGTCCGTCTTGGCGCCTGCACCTACGTGAGAGACCCGGAAGAAGCTCCTGGCTCCTGGCTTCGGACTGGCCCAGCTCGGCTGTTGTGGCCATTTGGGGGAGTGAACCAGCAGATGGAAGACCTCTCTTTCTCTCTCTGCCTCTCTAACTGCCTTTCAAATAAATAAATCTTTTTAAAAATTACAAAATTCAGACTATGAAACATCCAATAGTTCATTTGAAGCAAAAATTTTCCTTAAAAGTGATGAAAAATGTGCAGGAAAAAGTAATCTCATGAAATACAGAAATAAAACTTCCAGCGTTTATTTGAAAGATTTACAGAGAAGGGGAGACAGAGATCCTCCATCAGCTGGTTTACTCCCCAAATGGCCACAACAGCCAACGCCGGGAGCCAGGAGCTTCTTGTGGGTCTCCCATGTGGGTGGCAGGGACCCAAGGACTTGGGCCATTCTCTTTTGCTTTCCTAGGCCATTATCAGGGAGCTAGATCAGAAGTGGAGCAGGTGGGACTCCAACAGGCACGCATATGAGATGCCAGCCTCAGGGGCAATGGGCTTTTCCCACCATGCCACGATGCTGGCCTGACCTATGAGTTTGATGTACTCAATGTGCCAGGCCCTGCCAAACCATTCACTGTCTAATTTTCTCAGTTTATTTTGTTAACGGTTTTGGTACCCCGTTTCATACATGGAAACTCAAAATAGTGGCCAAGGCAGGTCTTCATAGATAGGATTCCAACCCATTTTGTAAAATAAATTGTTTCCCAGTGCATTGGACCACTGGTTCTGTAGGAAAAGCTTAACAACAGTGTCATTGATCATTTAATTGGCCACTTTCCCCTCAACTTCCTGAAGTACTATGGTGTCCAAACCACTCACGATGAAGAGCCCCTGTCAACTTCCATCAGAGATGTACATGGCTTGGGTGCCAAGGTCGGTTTAGGTACCTCTTTGTGCCTTCAAAACAACTGAGGCCTCTCTCTCCCACCAAGCTTCTGGCAGATGAGACTTGTGGGCTGTCTGCATGCCGCTTTTCACACCGACTTGGGGGAATGCTCTAGATGTTTGTTGCCGGCACACATGCATGAAAGACCCGACTGAACTCTGGCTCTTACCCAGGCTCGTGAGTTTGGCGTCAATTATAAAAGTTTCCACAAAATGATTAAGGACGCAAATCCCGCACGTTTGTAGTAAAAATACCTTGCAAGCTTGAGCAACCTGATAGAAGGCACTGAAGAGGGGACTGGCGCTGTGGCTCAGTGGGTTAATGCCCTGGCCTGAAGCACTGGCATCCCATATGGGTGCCGGTTCTAGTCCCGGTTGCTCCTCTTCCGATCCAGCTCTCTGCTATGGCCTGGGAAAGAGGTGGAGGATCATCTAGGTCCTTGGGCCCCTGCACCTGCGTGGGAGACCTGGAAGAAGCCCCTGGATCCTGGCTTCGGATCGGCACAGCTCCGGCCGTTGCAGACATCTGGGGAGTGAACCAGCGGATGGAAGACCTCCCTCTCCCTCTCTCTCTCTCTCTCTCTCTCTCTCTCTCTCTCTGCCTCTTCTCTCTGTGTAACTCTGACTTTCAAATACATAAATAAAAAAAAGTAGGCAATGAAGAAGCGCCATTCAAAAGCAATCAGTCACAAGTCATCCTTTATCAGGTGTGGCTGGCGAGAATCCGGCCAGTGTTTCAGAATACAATGCTAACCTTAGTGGTTCTCCAGTTCTATCCTTTTGTAGGTGCCGTCTGGGCAAGCGCCGAAAGCGGTCGCTTCGCTAAGCCCTGCCACTTTCAGGCCAGGAACTACCCCACCACCCGCCTCCTTCCTTGCGCTTCCTGCTTCCGCCGGAAATGCTTTGCCGCAGGAAGTGACGCGAGTTGGGGGGGCCAAAGGGGAAGTACTATCTTTTCCTCTCCACGCGGTTGAGGGCACCGGACGGCCTGCGCGGCGGGTGCTGAGTGATGCCGGGCAAACTCCGTAGCGACGCCAGTTTGGAATCAGCCACGACCATGGGAAAAGTGGAGAAGACGCGAAAGCAAAATGAGAAGGTGATACCGAGGGGCCCGGGTGCTGGCGAGGGGCGGGAGTGCGAGCGCGTGGCGCGAGTCGAGATCCGGCAGAGCCGCGGAACGCGCGTTGGTCCCCGCCAGCGGCGCCCAGGAGGGGTGCTCCCCCCGGGTTGGGAGGCGCGTGGCCCGCGGGCCGGAGCTGGCTGTGCCGCGCGCCGGCCCCTTGCTCCAGTCTTTGACGCATCCGTGCGTCCCGGGGGCGCTGGCCGTGAGGCCGCCGCAGAGCTGGACGGGACCGGCGTTCCACGTGGCCCCGGGAACTGGGATCACAGGTTCCGGCTTGTCCTCTCACTGGACTCCGAAGTCCAGGTGGGGACCGTAGCAGTGGACCAGACTAGAGAGGTCTTGTGGCCATCTGCGCACGTGCGTGGTGTCTGCAGTGGGTGTTTTTTTTTTAAAGCCTTAGCTGGGGAAGTACAGTTTGCTTTCAGGTAAGCAGCCCTTAGAAGATGAGGTAATTAAAGCCTTCTAAATTTATTGGCCACATCTCCCATGGAAAAACAAACACAGGGACTAGTGCTAATTGAATATCGCTTTTTCTGTCCTTGTTTTTGTTCTACATAGGGCAGCAGTGTGCATTAATTTTAAATTCCCCGGGTCGTCGTCGTCAGCTTCTTTGCTGTTACTGGAGGTCCTGGTTTAAGTTTCTGCATCAGTCAGTGTGTTCCTCTGTGGGATAGTCAGAGCAGGAGCAACCGTCTGGACTTACAGATAGGAAATTACCTCTTAATTTTTGAAACTAAGGGATGAAAAACCGAAGTCCAGGGGGTCATGTGGTGGACGGGTTACCCCTCGTGCTTGCTTTGAGTCCACAGGTCGGATCGGAAGTTTTAGGGAGACACATTGGTTAGCGCAGTAGTCTCCATCCTGCTGGAATTGGCCGAGGTGCTGCTAGAGAGTTTGTAGGGTGGCTGCACCTGTCCAGTTGTTAAAAGTTTTCAGTAATGTGAAAAGATGGAGAGAATCAGAAATTTCAGGAAGAGCTGTAGTCACCTAATTTGGTTTTTGAGATTTTATCCTTTCCATGTACTTGTAACTTGTGCATTTATTTTGTTTTACATAAGGGGATGATGGGTTGTGAGTTTATGTGATTATGTTTGAAGCAGTGTCTTTATGTAAGTTCATTTGCCATTGTGAGAGATACACAAGGTGCAAATGGTGTGAGTTCCTGTTTTGTCTGTACAAAAATTTTAACAGGAAGAAATAAAATCTATTTAACACCCTCCATCTGTGTACATATATAGCATTATTGCTTTCAGAATTGGAACTGTACTTGATCACTTTTTTATAGTATTTAGTTTAGAGCCTGTTGGAGCATCCCTTGAGCCACTATGAGTCATTCCCTTAATCATATCTGGTTTTACAATTGTCAAAGTTCGACCAATATGAACAGTTACTAAGAGACACCCTTGATCTCAAGCTAATGAAACTTGATAAACAAGGGGCTTCAAAAGTTTATGGAAAATACAGGTAACAAAATAACTACAGGATTTCCAAATTTTTTGCACCAAAATAAACTTTTTCATGAACTTTTTATCTCCATCTTAGCTAAGACACAGTACTAAAAAAGCATACTGTTTGATTTGTATCTGTCACAGATAAAGTACAACTGTTGAAATGCCCCTGAATTGTGTTATTTATCATTGAAAGCGATCCTGAAATAATCCATATTTGATGGACTGTGCAAACGTTTATCTGCTTTGTTCAATGTTTGCGTTTTCATTATCTTTTTAGAAAGATAAAAAACAGAAGCCAAAATCTAATAAAATCGAAGAATCAGCAGAAGAAAAGGAAGAAATGGTTTCCCCTAAAGCTAAAAAAGCTAAGAAGAAAGAGCCATCTGAGGTTGGCATGAATCCTCCTAAGTCCAAAAAGGAGAAAAAGCAAGAGGAACCATCTCAAGATGAAGTTGTTTCTCCTAAAGCCAAAAGTAAGAAAAAGGAGAACGTTGAAAAGAAAACTGCTTCTTCTAAAACCAAAAAAGTAATAAAAAGTGAAGAGCCGTCAGAAGAAATAGGCGCTCCTAAGCCCAAGAAGATGAAGAAAGAAAAGGAAGTGAATGGAGAAATTGGAGAGAAGAGTCCCAAGATGAAGAATGGCCTCCCGCACTCCGAACCTGACTCGAATGCCGATGGAGCTGCCAGTGAGGAAAGCAGCAGTGAGGCAGAGAAGGTGAAGTTACGCTTTAGTAGGCAGGATTGTTAGGCAGACTGGTTAGTAGTAGAGGAATCCGGTATGTCAGCACCTTGTGGTGGGGTGGTCCCTTGAGATGCAAAGAGGGACTTCATTTTAGAGGTTATAGTGTCCGAATGCCTTCTTTACAACGCGACTCAGGTAGAGATCGACTTGGTCTGCTTACTTGCAAGTCAGCTCTACAGGGGAGATACAGTGGTATGTTGTGTAAATGGGCCCTAACTTCCCTCCCGGGAAGAGGTTTTGCCAAATCGTTAAATGGATCCACTGGAAAGGGTTGTTCAGAAACTCAGGTAAGAAATCGGAACTTTAATAAATGTTCTGTTTGCTGTCATGCTCAACACTTAGAGTTCTTTTCCTGATTATAAAAAAAAGTGATCTAGAGAATTTAGAAAATGTCAAAATTTAACCAAAAACAGAACGCCCCAGAATTTCAGCATTTATTTGTTAAAGCAATACTAGCCACTTTCCAAGTACAGAGGTATATAACTTTCAGATCAGAATCAGGGAGGTCTTCCATCCACTGGTTTATGCCCCAGATGGCTACACAACCAGGGTTGGGCCAGGCCAGAGCCAGGAGCTTCTTCCAGGTCTCTCGCATGGTGAGAGTGGGTGGTAGGGGCCCATGCGCTTCCATCTTCAGCTGCTTTCCCAGGCAGGGAAGAGGATTAGAAATGGAGCAGCTGGGACACAAACCAGCACCCATGTGGGATCCTCGTGTCCCATACTGCAGCTTTACCTGCTATGCCACAAACTCTGGTCCATTATACTTCATTTTATATCCTTTTGCATTTTAATATTAGCATTTCTTTTTTTTTTTTTTTCATTTTTAAAAAATTTATTTGAAAAGCAGAGAGAGAAAGGGAAAGACATAGCTTCCATCCACTGGTCCATCTGGTGGTTCACTCCCCAAATGGCTGCAAAAGCCATAACTGGGCCAATCTGAAGCCGGTAGCTTCTACCTGGTCTCATATGTTGGTGCAGGGACCCAAGCACTTGGGCCATCTTCCACTGCTTCTCCAGGTCATTAGCACGGAGCTGCTGGGACCTTATGGGATGCCAGTGCTGCAGAAGGCAGGTTAACCTGCTATGCCACAGCGCCAGCAACTGATTTTTAAATTAAATATTAAATGTGTTCTTTGGTTGCATACTGCAGCATGAATGTTTAGAAATTCATTTCATTCCTCTGTTGTTGAGCAGTCAGGATTTTTGCAATCCAGTAATGCGATAGTGACTTCACACGTGTCTGGATGTGTATGAGGGAGGTTGCTCTATAGAAGCGCTGATGACATTCACCAGGAACTGTTGGCTTGGAATGAGTATAGAGTAGTTCTTGGTTGAAATAGTCTGCCCTCACTGGTCACCCAGAGCATGTGTGCAGTATGTATTTGCTGCAGGTTTTTATTTTGTTGAATTTTAGATACTATGGTGCATTTCCTTTTCATATCTAAATTTACTTATCAAGGATTTTTTTTAAAGCTTTCTTAAATTATTAGTTATTTGAAAGGTAGACACAGCTAGTTCCCTCCCCAAATGCCCTTAACGGTTGTAGGCAGCAGCCTAGAGCTCGGTCTGTCTCTCACATGGGTGGACAGGAGGCACGTACTAGAGCAATCACCTACTGCTTCTCGGGGTCTGCATCAGCAGGAACCTGGAGCAGGAGGTGGACATGGGCCCGAACCAAGGTGCTGCGGCATGGGGTATGGGGTATGGGCATCCCAGGTGACTTAACTGCTGCTGCCAAATGTCTAATTGCCTCCGGAGGGTTTTGGTAATTTTTGGTTGATTTTTAAACTGATGGGTTTAGATGAGTTACAGACAATGTTTCTTTTCTGAAGTCTTCTCTGTATTACCTTGTATGGCTTATATTAATTTTCTGTTGTGGTCCTTTGCTTGCTAGGAAATCCCTGTGGAGCAAAAGGAAGGTGCTTTCTCTAATTTTCCTATATCTGAAGAGACTATTAAGCTTCTCAAAGGTAATGTTCTTGAAAGTATTTTGTAATGTTGGAACATATTTGGAAATATGCTTCTGTTTTGTTTTGTTTTGGTTTGTTTTTTTTTTTTGGTTCTGATTTTACTTGAGAGGCAACCATATAGGACCCCACCCACTGTTTCACAGCCAAGTGCACAGTGGCCCCACAGTTGGGGCTCAACCTGGGAGCCTGGAACTCAGTCCAGGTCTCCATAGCTGGTAGAAAACCCAGTTACCCGAGTCATCACTGCTGCCCCCCAAAGCTAGATCCCCAGGAGCCGCAGCTGGAAATTGAACCCAGGTACTCCAGTGTGGGATGTGAGCATCTTAACAGCAGGCTAAATGCCTGCCCCAAGGACATACCCTTACTGTAAGATCATATATGTAGCCATATAATGAACTGCACCCAAACAAGGTAAGGTTTTTTGGTGTGAAAAAAATTAATTTGTCACTCATGGGTTTCAAAATATTTTGTTTGAGGCCGGCACTGCAGCTCACTAGGCTAATCCTCCACCTGCGGCGCTGGCACACCGGGTTCTAGTCCTGGTTGGGGCACCTGTTCTGTCCCGGTTGCCCCTCTTCCAGGCCAGCTCTCCGCTGTGGCCAGGGAGTGCAGTGGAGGATGGCCCAAGAGCTTGGGCCCTGCACCCCATGGGAGACCAGGATAAGTACCTGGCTCCTGGCTTCGGATCAGCGCGGTGCACTGGCCGCAGCGGCCATTAGAGGGTGAACCAACAGCAAAAGGAAGACCTTTCTCTCTGTCTCTCTCACTGTCCATTCTGCCTGTCAAAAAAAAAAAATTTGTTTGAGAAGT